GAAGGAAGGAAGGAAGGAAGGAAGGAAGGAAGGAAGGAAGGAAGGAAATGAGAAGACTCAAACCCACAGCATCAAGTGTCCACAAGTGTTGCCTGCCTGTTCATAGCCACTCACAAAGGTTGAAGGCATTCTTCCCACCCTTCCTATGGAAACAAGGTTCTAACAAAGCCAGAAACAATGCTGGGTGCAGATGTCCATTGATGTCATCTAAGTAACACAGGTCCAGACTCCAAGAACATTTTTCATGCTGCATTCCAGTGGCCTTGCTCCTGGCATTATAAAAACACTTACTAGTGGCCATACCGAAACCCTAAAAGCTCGATGTTAGAAATTTCCTTATTTTTCTAGCCTTTCAAAATTAAATCTGAGGTGCCTATTTATCAACTCCAGAAGTAGCAGCATTCCACACTATTATCAACTGCCCTCTACATTAAAAAAAATGTGTGCTGAAATCTGAATGCACAAAACCCCAAATACTTCAGTTTTTTCCGTTACAGATAGAATGCTAGGCAAGTTATTCTACCTAGAAATCACTATAATGAAGTTTGGGCTTATACAAATCATAAGGAGATTGGAAATAGTTAAATGAAAAGAAGTGCATACATAAATTCAATTATCATGCACGAACATGCAAATGATTTAAGTGCTGCATCTGAAACTCTGTTTCACATTCATTAATCTCAGGTTGCACTTTTTGAAGGGGAAAGACATGCTAATTGGGTCCAGATTAATGCACTCCCAAACCTCTCCAATTTGTTTTTAGGTGAGGGTTAAATGATATGTATTAAAATAAACACAGCTGCTCATCTGCCTCCACCTTTATTTCTCTGCATTACCTCTACCTCTTCACCCAGCTGGCTATCTGCCCTGCCTCACTCCACTCCCCAGCTGGCTCCCCTCCCAACACAACCCACCCCCCAGCTGGCTCCCCTCTTCTACTATGCCTCTTCTTCCCTTACAGAAAATATCAAAGACCCCTGCCTTGTCGTTTTTGAAAACACATGGAAGAATGACTCTTTTTCAGAGTCACTTCAATGCTTTCCCTTTCATCAGGAGTCCCCACACTCCACAGAGGGGAGCATCCACATCCTGGACCCCAGTGATGCTTAACTGTGGTACCAAACACATATACCAATGGGAAAGCAGCCTGGCATTTTCTCAGATAATGCATTCTTTCTACAAATCTGTGCTGTGGCCCTTTGGGCCAGAATTAAAGAGTAGTTTGAAAGATTCCCGGTGCAGGATTGCTGGGAGTCAAAATTGTTTAATGTTGGCATGGCAATCCTGTGACTTGGTTGTGTGGGGAATTAAAGACTGAGACCAAAAGTGTGGGGGGGTTGCATTCTTTCTCTGTGACTCACAAAGACACTTGACTGTCCCTGTCCCTACACCCTAGCAAAATTAATCTTAAAATAAAAAGAAAACTGTTATCACCCATTTGTTTATGTATCTTGACGACACATTAATTTGGCACACAAAGAAATGACACATTTGGGGGAGAATTGAGTGATGACAGTCTTAAAATAGTCAACTCTTATTTTTCTTAGATCTAATCTTTAGAAAAATGAGAAAGAGCTACAGTGTTGTGGGAATAAACTCAGGGACCCACCCCCTTTTCTAAAACAAATAAACATCAAGAGGTTAAGCCAGCCATCATAAAGGAGAAGGGGACTTCCATCTAATTTGACATTGAAGGTTATAATGTGAAACCTGGTTGCTTTGATGACTCATACCCAATCAGCACCCTCCCTCTTGGTATGAGTTTAAAATGTGTGGCACTTTTTTTTTTGTTTTTGTTTTTGTTTTTTTCCTTTTCCAGAAATCAAATGAACGTCTTGGGTCCCATCTTTTGGGATCCTATCAGGCTAATTCTCCCAATGCATACTCACAACACAGAGGAGACAACAAGAAGAACACACACATACACAAAAACATAAATTACTGGACATGTCACACAGCACAGCACTGCACGTGAAAACAGACAGCTAGTGACAGACGTGGTGCTCAGAGAGCCTTTCCACCTAAATTGATTTTTGCATATTTATAAATGTAAAATTAGTCTTCATAAATAACAGCAAGGGCGAGGCCGATATTAAATCTGTCAACGTTCTGACAAATGCCCTGAGCGTTGTTTGGACGAGAAATACACTCAGGATCAGATTCGCTCCTAAAAGAGAAAATGATTATACGCTAACCAAACCCTAAGTACAAGCTAAAGATATTCACCTCATGAAGCCATTCCTCAACTAGCCCCTTGGCACTCGCTGGAATTATTCTCAGCACGATCTCTACTTTCTCATTTTCTGCTGTCTCCATGTGGGTAATTTCTTTCTCATGATTAAGAGTGAGCTTGGCAGATCCTTCAAAGCGTGGTTTTAGGTGTGGTGGAGCTCCTGTGTGTCCTTTGTCTAAGGCAGGATTCTAAGGCTGCACTGTTAGGTGGGAAGGCCTCGACAGCATTCATGTACCTAAAAAGATTGTTGTTTTTAAGGCAGACTTTATAGATATCTTTATAGAAACATTTTGTTGTTGTTGTTCTACAACATGCGACTGACAAATGAAATGAACTGTTTACCTTTGAAAGAACAGGCAGGCTTTTCTCTTCCAAATAATCACTCCAGCCTTTCTGAACGTCATCCAGATGCTGCCTCCTTCGACTTATCCAACATCTGAGGTTGAGAGATAACCCTTGTAGCATTGGCCTCCATCCCTGGCCCCTTCATTATTAGCCTCCTGGTGAGTGAGATAGAATACAGTGGCTGGAATAACCCTCCTTCACACAACAGGCTCGCTCTCTCTTTTAAATTGAAAATCCCCTTATTACAAAACAAGGGGTGTTCTTTTTCTTCTACCTTTAAGTAGGAATGCCACATTCATTGCTTCTTACAAAAACCGCAGCTGCTTTCTAAGCTACAGATAAATAGAATGTGCTAGGCGGTAATTCGACTCAGTCTGAATGCATTATTTTCCAAGACACTTTGGCAAGGGGCTTTTTATTATGAACTGGAAAGAACAAGGAAAGTCCTTTCTCTCCTAATTATGGATGTGTTTTGTTCTCTACTATTAACCTATAATGTCAGATTGATCTTCTTTTGCTGCAGCCAGTTCAATAAATCAACACTTTTTTTCCTGGAAAATTAGAGGGCTAATGATTAAGTCTTCATGAACTTTAATGATGAAAATAAAATTAGCACAAGAGAGAAGCAGATGCTAAAACCAAAAATACACAACAGGCTGTCCACTGAGACTTAGGAAATGAACCTTGTTTTGACACCCAAAGTTAAGATCAGCAGGACTAAGTAGTAAATTTTAATTAACTTAAATTTACTAAAAGTAAGGCTTTCCAGCCATTTTGCTATGCTAGCTCATGTACAAAGGGGGAAAGTACATAAATATGAGGGTGCTGTTTCTAAATAGGGTGCCATACCATTTGTGTTTATTGTTTACTGGTTCTATAGAGATGACAGCTGGCAATGCTGACAGTTTTTCTCATCCAAGCAGTGAAATAAAGAGCTAAAGCACAAGAAACTCTCAGTGGTCAACTTGTGCTTCAACCTGAAGATAAACACTGTGAAAAGTCATGAGTTCCTAATACTTTCCTAACCAAAACCAAAATAAAAACACTGAGAAACCCCGTTAACCTAGCTTCTGGTTAATTGTTGATCCCAATGTTAATATTTCTGAACATAATATTACAACCGACCAGCACAGCAACAGTGCTATAGGTCTGTGTGGATATATTGCTTTGCCAAGAGGGGGAAATCCCACGGGGTGCCAGTGGGGTTCCAATTAAGGCAAAATAAATACTGCTGCAGCCTGACAGCAAGAGGAGATTACCAGCAGATCTCAGCACATGGGCAGGTGTGCCCTTCTGAGCCATGCACAGACTGAGCCATGCTGTCAGCAAGCAAAGTGCCAGAGAAGAGCTGGGTGTGGCTGGTGGCTTGACAATGATTTATTCTTGTTTGCTCATATGTTTTTGAGTGTGTTTCCAAAAAGGTTGATTGTGGCAATCAATGAGGATCTTGTGCAAAGCACAAAGTCCGCCTGAACCCTGACTTGAGACTGCATGCATATTTAAAAGATCTCAGACCCAAGGGAAGAAAGAAAGCAGGGGCAAGGGAAGGAGAGAGACACTTTGGAATTATATTTGCATTTGAAGCTAGCCTGACTCTCTCCATGTACATCTGTCTGAATTTTTTTAAGGAGGTATATTTGTTCCCGCTGCAATGCTGACTGAATTTTCCAAGCAGCCTCTTTAGGAGGATTGTTCGCGCAGTGGATGTTGGTGGCAGCCTTCAAGATCCTCCTACCCTGATTAGATTTGAATCAATTTCCCATTCGCTGATATGCCTGGAAACACATGATGTGCTGGGCAGGTGCCCACCCTGGCTTATGAGCCAGAGTGACGCTGTGGCAGCCCCGAGAGCCCAGTTAACCCTGGATAAATAACAGGGCCCTGTTCCTGAGCCCCACCGTGAAGCACGTGAGACATTGCCATAAGAGGAAAATTAAATCCCTGAGTGTCGATATCTCCATTGAGTGCTCAGCACAGGAACAAGCTTGCCTTGGCAATCCAGAGTGTTTGGTTTTTGTTACAGAGATGTTGGAGGCAAACATTAAACAAACTCTCAGCTTTATATTTGAAGGAGTGTAATATTCCTAGATATCCTAATAGACAAGCATTATTCAAATAGAAACAGTTTGCCCACAAAAAATACCAACCAACCAGACAAACAAACAAAAGATCTCTGAGCACATTTTCGCCTCAAATTGTTTCTTACACTCCTCCCCTTTTGACCCTGGGTGGATACTAACACAAACCAAGATGGGCAAGTTTTGTGAGGATAAGGTGTGATCACTGTCTCCTGCTACATGTATTGTTGTTCTAAACTAATAATAATTATGTTGTGACAACATAATCCACCAGACACAACTTTAGGCCACCAGTAATGCTAGTAGCTCTACTGCAGGCAACTCTCTGACAGAGCAAGCATGGCAGCCCTATTTTTAAAAAGCCAAAAGGATGATTCAACAGTCAAGCCTTATTCTGTTCTCTCTTTGGAAAAAAAGAATAAAAAGGAGAAGAAACAAAGTAAGAAAGAGGAAGAGGGAGAGATGTGGAAAGAAGAAAAGGAAATCAGGAAAAACAGAAGTGCTACTCAGCACAACTCAGTGATTGGTGTTTTTTCTCATGTAAAAATAACCATTGTCACATCTCCCTTCTGCCTCCTCAAAGCAAATCTAGCTGTAAATCCTCACAGCCTCCTCTCCATATGGAACACTGTTGTCCCCATGTTACTGTCTATGAGACACCTGGCCGTCATCATCTTTTACGAAACAGCTAGTATTGTTCTCGGCATTGTTAGTCAGTGCTCTTCTGTCCCTTGTGCCTTTTCATATAAAAATTTCTTTCATGCTTCAGCCTTCTTAAGAACATGCAGCAAAATAGATGAACAGTGCAAACCAGTGGTGTGAGTCTATCCAGGCTTAATTCTGGCAGACTCAAATCACTCTCCTATTTCAGTGGCAAGACTACATAGTGATTTCACTTTACTTATGGTTCCTGAGGGCAGGAAAAAAATGGTGTTTTATGAATGAGAAGGAGGCAACACCATGTGCAGGACAATGACAGGTACCCTGTGTTCTCCAGGATGAGGCACAGCAAAGTTCCCAGTGAAGTAAGAGAAAGTATCCATGCGAAGAAACTAGAATCCTTTGGTCTGTGAAGTTGTTGCCTTCCTTCCAAACCCGGAAGGTTAGTGTGCACACATCCCGCATGGCTGCACACACATATACAGATGTCGGGTGTGGGCACCTGCATTTGCAGGTGCACTGAACTCCCCCCCGCCCAGAAACCAACCCTCTTTAATTACCACATGTGAAAACCTTTACCCTTCAATTGGCAAGAAGGCACTACTCTGATTTCAGATAGTTGGTAAATGCAAAGTTTAAAAGCTGTCACTCCACTTTTTAACTTCCTTTCTACTGAAGTGCCGGCTAATCATGTCCAGGTTGTCAAAGGAAGTCAGGACCCAAGGCCACTTATAAGATGGATTAAGTTCCAAAAGACAAAGTAGCCGCTTACACTTAAACACATTATGAAGACATTTTATACTTTACAAAAAAAAAAAAAGTTAGGCACTGTTTAAAATGGAAAAGAAAGCTATGTTTTGAAAGATGAACAATTTTGGTATAAGTACACGTTGTCTGGTTTTAGAAGACCAAACCCCACTGCTGAAAATACAAGCACAGATAGGGTCGTCTGGACCAGCCCGGTTTTAGGAAACCATAGACCTTATGTGGTCAAACCCAGCAAACTATTACACAAGAAAGACTGGACTCTAAGAGGGGTAACTTGAAAAAGGCATCCTCATTCTGGGGATCTGCTTGCCTGAGACCTTGCCTCCCAAGTCAGAAGGAGGCTCTGGGCTCCCGAGACCATGTGGCCTTGCAGCCGAGAGCCTCTTCTCCACAGAAAGCAGTCCAGGGAGAAGGGATCAGACAACTGAACAGAGGGTGTCCTTGGATCCAGAATGTCCTGAAACACCAGAGTCCCATGGAGCACAAAGCTATGAGTATGGGAGTCAGTCACGGGAGCTCTTTAACTGCTTGTCAAAGTTTTCTGACACCAGGAGCTTTGAAGAGGTCAGAGAATTTGTCCCAAGCTTCTGTTTTCTGTTCTCCTTCAAGGAGCACAGTGAAGAATGGGGCCACTCAGCTGCCTTTTAACATGTCACACTTGGATAATTTCCATCCTTTCCAGGGAGCTTGTCCATTCCATTTGGACTCATGGAAGAAAAGCAGAAATCGATTCAGAACAAAAGAAACTCCCATGTTTTTTGCCTCTTTTGTATGTTTTTTTAGAGAGTACCCACAGTGTAGTTAAGTTGAAAAAGTTTAAAAAAAAAAAAAAGAGCACTGAGGCAACAAATCACATAGGGGAAAAAAGTTGAGATTTAAGATAGAATCAAATTTAAAAGCTAATTAAATTCAACAAGGACTTCTCAAAGGACCACATAATAAAATTCTTCTCTGTCTGTCTAACATTTTGCTTTTGAAGAGGGCAGTAAGTGGAAAGACCGCATGGTTGTAGATTCCATATTGTGGTGAAAGAAAAAAAAAAAAAAAAACAACCAGAGATGGGGTGAAAAAGATGAGATGCATGGATTTCTGTACTGACTGGATGCTAGGGCCAGGATGCAAGAAAGAGATAAGTTCCTGCTCCGAGGGAACCAAATTTGAAGGCAGACAGTAAAATGGACTGAACCTTATTACCTCGAGTCCCTGAGAAATTCCCAAGACAGTTGGATGCAATTTGAAAAGGTCAGAAAAATATTTCCTGCACAGCACTGCTTCATGGTTTAAGGGTGTACATTTGTGAGATGCCAACTCTAATCATTTTTATTGACTTTGCTTTCTAGAGACAGACAGACAGTCTGGGAGGCAGGACCAGCAGATAAGAGAGAGGCAATCTTACAAATGAAAACCTCTCTTACTTTGTTCTCTGGCTTGTGACTGAAAAATTCCAAGCCTTTCCCATTTAAAAAGAAACTACTCTGCAGGCTGACAAGAAGGGGAAGGCAGTACAGGAAAGCATCAATATAACTCTAGTGAAGCTATTTCCTCTTAATTGCCATTTAGTTTTCTTCTGCTGTATGCTAAGACCAGGGAAACATATGTGATGCTGCACTTTGCCCTGGGAAATGATCAAGATGACATGCTAGGAAGTACCTCAGTATGTGAGCATCAGTTTTCTCCTAGCATATCTTTTGAGGCTGGTTGTGGGAACGCAGGAAACCCACAGGAGAGGGTGAAATTAAACAAAGCATGGAAATGTCCATTGAAAATATTATTCTCTAATGATTTACTGTCATTAAACTCCTCCCAAATACAACGGGAAAACAAAGATTTCTCTCTTTAAATGAGATTGGTATGCAATGCGATCCTTTGTTGGCAAATGTATTTGTGGGTCTTTTTTCTTTGTCTGCCTCTCTTCTTTTTTGTTGGCATCCAATTAGAAGTTAAAGCTGACTTCTCAATACAGGATGCCATGATCCTTTCCAGCTCTGCAAAGTTTTAATTAACATCTGACTTCTCTTTCTGTGGGAAAGCAAACGAAGCCTGCTTACTCCTGTTTTGAAGCAGAGCTAAACTTTTTAATGGCCCTGAGACCTGTCTGCATGCTTTCCTAAGATGTTCTCAACACACCGGGGATCTTGGCAGCTCGCTAGAGCCTTTCAACCAGCAAGATGTCTTTTCCTATGGACAGCCATCATGCTGATCTGGTCTCCATCCCTGTTATCCACAGACCATCACAACCAACAATGAAGGAAGCCAGTACAAGAAGGCTTTAAATTATGTCAACAAAGCTCATTAACTTGGCAGTGAGAACAGAAGGTTCTTGCTTGTAATTGCCTCTTTCTTAGGTGTCGTCTCAATATTTGGTATTGTTTAGAGATAAACAACAAAATTTGGTGGAATTATAAACTTTTTGCCTCATACAAACATTTTAGAAGTTTAAAAAATAACAAAGTTCATGGGTCATACTAGACCTTTGTGATATAGGCCTCCACTAAATCACATTTAAAATATGATGTTTGTTAAATTTTTATTTATGACATCTGTTTTATTTGCACAAACAGGTTTTTAGTATTTTTTATTTGTTAATATCATTAATAACAATAATAGCAAAAAGCATGTATATTAAAGTAGCAGTAAAAATAGAGGATTATATTTCATTGGAGTGTTCATTAGTTGAGTACGTACTACATGGAACATCCAAAAGATACATCATTTTATTTAGTCTTCACAGACAATTTAAGTAAACCTAATGTGAGAATGGGGCCAAGAGAGGGCAGGATATTTGTCTGGACTTGAAAATGTGCAGGCATTGAAACTGGGGCTCCGATAAAGACTGATTTATGTCTTCCAAAGCTCTAAGCTTGGATCCATATTCTACAGGCAAGGCAGAGCCAGGAAGGCCAGCCCCAAGTCACACTGCACATTGCAGACCCTGGGGCTGTGCTGAGCAGCTATGCTGCTCTTCTAGGCTGAGCCAGGGCTGCTGAAAATGTCCCTCCATGCAACCGATGGTAGCTGGCTGAGTGTGGAGCTGTTAACCAGCTGCTGTTTTCAAGTGTTTCCTGTCCTCATAGAACTTAGTTCACAAAGAATAAAATACACTTACGGCAGCCTTCTTAATCAGGTTGGGAGGTTCATGGTTCAGAATCACTTGATAAATTTTGGGGCCTAATGACACACAAATTACTGATCTTATTTGGGTTATCTTTGAATTATGCACTGAAAAAAATAAAGGAGAAGAGAGTGCCTCTTAGCTGGAGTTGCATTAGGGCTAATGTGTTAGTTCAATGAATCACTCTTGAGACACAACTTTGAAAGGGGAAATGTTCAGCTATTTCATTATTATCACAGGTAAGTAGGTAGAATAAAAAGAAAATAATGACGGGTCACTAGAGTTTAGGACACAAAATGCCACAGGTCTTTGATTGCAGCAAAATGTGCCATACATAGCCAGATTTCAACAAAATGCTATTTTATTATTATTTGACAAACGTTTATTTTAGCTGATTTACTAACTATATCCCTGCAATGGTTCATCTTGTTTAGAGATTATGGCTATAAATGTCAAAATACTGTTTGGCTTTCTGGTACACGCTGTCTATGCGGTATCTCCACCTGTTGGCTTCCACCCTCAGATCGCCCTATGTATGAAGACAGCTCCTTAAGGTATCAGGTCCCCTTACAGAAAGGGACCCTTTTCCCTGATGCCTGAAAAGACACTTTCCTACTGTCAAAGCCATTACAGTGAGTCAATCAATGGAAGATGTACCTTCAGCTGTGCTGCACCTCAGGAAAAATAATGTCTTTTGTTTGCTTTTTTTCTTGTTTTTGTTTTGTTTTTAAGACAAGGTTTCTCTGTGTAGTCTTGGCTGTCATGGATTCACTTTGTAGACCAGGCTGGCCTTGAACTCACAGCTATCTGCCTTCGTCTGGCTCCCTTAGTGATGGGATTAAAGGCATGTGGCACTGTGCACAGCTATCATGTTTTTCTTAAGGACTAACAGAGGAAGCATTTAAAACATAGGAAGGCTATCAGGCACAGCTACTGAAAGATGCAGAGAGGAGCAGCTGAAGAAAAGGCTGATCGCAGAATAAGCCATCTGCAGGATGGCTTCCCCCGCTCCCCCAATATTTCAGACTCAGGGCTTTTCTTCATTACAGAGCAGCATTGAGAACAATCTAGAGAGCGTAACAGAAGGTCATTGGTACTCCCAAAGTGCTTGGAAACAAAAGGGGTCTAATTGTCAACCAAGAAGGGATGTAAAATACCATCCCAAATTGTTTGTTTTCAATGTATTTTGTCAAGAAATAATATATATCAAGCCTATTTATTTTCAAAAGAGGAATGCCCTGAAAAATATTTTGAAGACAGCCTAATAGGATAATTTAATATTTTCCAGGTAGCAATTTGCTCTTAAGACAAAAGATGGTTTCATAAGGAAAATCTCCATCATGAAAGTGCTGGAAGAAACATCATACTAGATCACTGCATGAGCTTTCTGCTTTACCTGGTCCTTCCTGTGTACACAGACACAGTTGTGGGCACCAACCCAATTGCAATGAACTGTTTAGAAATAATGATAAGGAAAGATGACACACAATTAAAACATGGTGCTATAGCAACAGAAGCAGAAACACATCCAGACAAGGCAAAGAAATGAGAACAGCCCTTTTCTCCTTCCTGGGCCATGCAGAGTACTTTAGCAATTTCTCAAAGCACATTATTAGATTTTTATTTTCATCATTCTTCTGATACTTCAATGTCAGAATGTTAAATGCTTTGTGTACCTGGCTGTCCTTCTCAAGAGGACTGTGGTAGAATGAGAACCCAAATGTTATCCCAGTCCATTTTCTGTGAATTAGAGGATTCTCTGGAGCATATCATTTCTTGTGTTGGGAAAAAGCGTGGCTTAAATTTTTTTTCTGAATAAATTTTCAAAATCAAATTTGAAAGTTTTCATGAGAGATGATCCTCCCTGGCGGGTGATGCGAAGCATAACCTAAGGGGCAAACATGAAAATAATTAGCATAAAATGTATTAGCATATAGATGCCTTTGAAATAATAAAACAGCTGAAAACCCAAATGCCTATCCCCAAAAGAAAGTGATGAGAAAATACAAAATTAGTGAATTCTTCTTGCATGACAACTCCAGCCTGAAAGCCAGAATGAACATTTTCCTTCGGTGAAGGGTGCAATGACCAGGGAGATGGAGAAGACCCAGTGCTTACCCCTCCTTCCTTTGCTTTATTTGGTCATTATCAACACATGAATATTCTCTTACTGATCCATTAGCCCACCCCCTTTCTTCTTTAAACAAAAATATCTTCCCTTTACTTTCTTTACAAACCACCAAATACTCAGATATAAAGCTTCTATTTTCTTTTTTTTCCAACCCCCTCCTTTTATCTGGCTTTCCATAGTTTTCTAGATGGCATAACAAAATACTGGAATTGGTTATTCCATTACCAAGAAGACAGGGAAGACTAGTTTTAAACATGGGATAATGTTCTGTGTTTATATTAGTGGTGGTCCATAAACTCAAACCAATTTTTTAATATTTGTAATCAATGTTACTTCTGAGATAGTAGAATGGTATAGGACAACATGACAGCAAAACCATAGTCTATAAAGTCAGTCCCCATTTTAAAACGTGTTGAGCTAACTTTGGAAAAGATGACTTACAACTAACTCAGTCCGCCCTTTTATATATGTGATAATTTTAGGGTAAGCCAAGATTGTTATGACAAGTATAAAACACATATGGATCCTGGGCACTGTATCTGTCACCTTCAAGAACATTATTGAAGACTCAACATTTTGTGGTTTCTTTCTTTCTCTCTTTCTTTTTTTCTTTCTTTCATTTTAGGAGTTAGTAAGTTAAAGGCCATTTCATCTTTGTATGCATTTAGATAAATAAGTGGTCCTAAAACGTTAAGGAAAGATACCATCGAAGACAATGGATCTGTACTGACATATTATCAAAACCTATTCTCTTTCCAAAATTCAGTCAAGAAAATAAAGATTCTAGAGTTAAAATTCATACCATAGAAGAAAGAATGGAGCTTTTAAGAAAAAGCATTGTGGCAGAAATTCACAACTATTTTAGAGAGTATAATATAGAAGTAACAATTCACTAACTATACATTAAATTGCCTAAATCAAGCAATACAGGTGAATCCCTCAAGCAATAATCATGTTGTATAGTTGAAACAATGTATTCATATCTAGACTGTGCTGCAGTATTTTGATTTGTTTGTTAATTTTTTGAGACAACCCCCCCCCCCCCAATATACAAGGCTGGTCTGGAGCTCTTTATGTATCTTTGTATATGCTGTCTGTGAAATCTTCTCCCCTTTGATTCCAAGTTTTAGGATTAGAGACCTGTACCACCATGCCAGGATGTTCATTTAATAGTTACTTTTAAAAGGTGTCAATCTAGCCCAAGAAAGGGTGTTTCCACCAAAATATCTTTTGGTTTTCTCAATTCTCCTGCAGTTTTGAACTTCTAATGGATAATAATCACTTCACAAAGGAGTGTTTTGGCCTCTTGGCATATGGAAGGAGAAAGGAAACATATTGTCAAATAACAGATTCTACAGAAATTAGAAAGTCAGCCATGGTGTGTGTCTCTGTTCTTTCTCAGCAGTTCATGCCTCAGACCTTAACTAACACTGCTTGCCTTCAGAGCTTATTGTCATCAAAACCTACCTTTCTTGAATACTTAGGTCTTATCAGTACCTCACACACTCCTGACAAACCATAATGAAACCAAAAGAGGGGAGAAAAGCCAGAATTTGTGCATTTTTCTAACAAATAAGCTGCTTAGTTATGTCTATGACGCAGTTCAGCTGAGGAACTTTTACCTTCTCTGTATGGCCAGACTCAGGACTGTTTACCTCTTCCCTTTCAATTTGACCTCACAGAGCCTGTGTTGTGAGACCGGCATCCTATGCAGGGCATTTTTTCCAAATGTCATTCAGTCTTCATCTTTCTTCTCTACTGGATGATATATGGGCCTAGTGTATTGCAATTCAGACTAGTTTGAAAAGGGAAATGGCAGAAAACAGCACAAGATAGTATTTCATTGGGTTTCAGAAGGTACAGACATTATGGTAGCTTGCATGTTGATGAGAATGCATGGCTATGAAGAGAAAGGGCCAGGTTCATGTGTTCACAGAATACAAATGTATATGAAGGCTATTCTGCATGCTTTGCCAGTCAACGGGAAAAGGAAAGCAGGTTCTCTGCCATCCAAAGAATTCAGGATCTACCAGCTGATTCCGTTAAGAATATTCTGCATTCTCACGGGGCTTTGTTTTAATACTAATACTGTTCAGATATAATATGTTTGGCCTAAAATTGGTTTAAAACTTTAGACGACACAAAAAGAATAGAATAAAACTAAACCTTCCCAAGACCATCTCTATTTGTTGTTTTTAAAATTTACATGGTTGTTTTCATTTTTTAAATATACTAGTGAACCTAGTTTTGCTTTTTTTTTTTTTCCTCCCATTCTCACTTGAAAAGTGCCACCAGCTACTTAGGTTCATAAACCCACCAACTTGGTTTCTATATATTTCAAATGAAGTTAGGGAAGAAAATAGATTTATTTACAGTTTTGTTTTGTTTTGTTTTGTTTTTTCCAAATTTGGGGAGGAGAGCTCCTAGTTTCTTTCTACCTTGCATGTATCGGTGTTATAGTTTCACACAAGAAATGAAACAAAAGCTAGGAGATAGACAACTACATTGCAGCTTTGAGCTGGCCCTCGAGGAAGGGGAGCTCACTTCCTGGAGGGTTCCTGCTCTGTACCAGCACGCAGCCTTTCCTCCCACCCGGGAAATTTCCTAGGGAAATTCAGATTCTTTGTGGTTCATTGTGTTAGAGGTCCTATTTAAGCATCTCTGAATATTAGTAACAAGTTACCTAAAAGAGAAATCATGAGAATTATTTCATTTATAATACTGGATCTTTAAAAAGTAAGTGTTATGAATGTATTTAATCAAGGCAATGAAAGGCTTATGCAAGGAATCCTACAAAACACTGAGGAAAGAAACTGAAGAAGACAGCAGATTCCCCATGTTCATAGACTCACGTTATTAGGATCCACACGCTGCCCAAAGTAATCAGACATTCAGTGAAATATCTATCAAGATTATCATAATGTCTTCCACCAAGATGGGAGAAAGTCTTAAAACTCATAATATAAAACAAAACATAACAAAAACCCTCTTTGTTAAATAGAATAAAACTACTGGAAACATTAAAATACCTGATGTCAACATATACAAAGCTATAATTATCAACACAGCATGGAGCTAGCATTAAAACAGACACTTAGGCCAATGGGATATACTAGAAAGCCCTGAAATAAACTAACACTTTAACAATCGATCTTCAACAAACATGCGAAAAATACACATTGTAGAAAGATTGCTTTTTTTAAAATACAATGCTGGGACAATTGGGAATGTATGTGCAGAAAAATGAAACTGAATCTACTTTATGGCAAATAGAAACTCTAAACAGATTAAAGTCTTACGTATAGGACCTGAAGCTGTAAAACTACTAGAAGAAAACAGAAACATTTCCCTGGTATTGGGGTAAGCTATGATTTTTTTATAACTAACCTATTCTTTGACATTTTCGTATACCTATCCAGTGTTATTAATCATATTTACCCCACTGTCCCCTCCCCCTATCTTCTCCCAATTTCTTATCCTCTACTCTGCGCTCCCATATGACTCACTGCGTCCACTTAGTGCCGCCCGCATGCCTGGGCGTGTAGGGTCTGACTATCGTCTGGCCTAGGACACAGATAATGAAAGAAAACTAGACAAATAGAAATTGCAACCAGTTAAAAAGCAGCACATCAAAGGAACCAATCAAGAGAGTAGAGACCGAAAATGAGATGGAAGGAAATATCTGTAAGCTAAATATCTGATAAGTAGTTAATACGTGAAGAATACAGGTAGATCAGACAACTCAATAGCAAGAAAACAAGTAACTACAAAAAATAATAGGCAAAAAGATAAAGTAGATTTCTCAAGAGATAACGTACAAATGGCCAATGGGTACATGGAAAAATGCTCACCTATCACTAATTACCAACGAAATACAAATTAAAACCACGTTGAGAAGTGATGCCACAATTCTTAAAATACTATTATCAGAAACTAATTCCTTGGCAAGGATGTGGGGAAATGGGAACCTTTGTAGGCCATCAGTAGGAGTGTAAATTAGTACAGCCATTTCAGAACCCAGAAATCCCACACAGGGTACAAATTACAAAAATAAAACAAAATTAGTATGCTGGTGAGGGATCTTTATGCTACCCACATGTTCACTGCAGCATGCATCTCAACAGTCCAGAAACAGAATCAACCTAAGCTTCATTCAGCAGATGTGTGGATAAAGAAAATGAGGCATAAATAAAAGCTGGAATGCTATCAGCCTTTAAACAGATGAAACTCTGACATTTGCAACAGCATAGACGAAACCAACAGGCAATGTGGGGAGTGATACAAGCCAGGCACAGGGAGATCTCTCTTATATACTGAGTCTAAAAATGCAGAACCCAAAGAAGGCAACGTGGTACGAGGCACTGGGGAGTGAAAGTAGGAGTTAGGAAACATAGGGAATGTGTTCAAAAGATACAAAATTGATTTTGCATAAATACGCTCAAGAGCTATGCTTTGAGCCAAGTGACTATAGTTTGTAACAGCACACACGCACTTTTCAAAATTACTAAGAATAGATTTTAAATGTTTCCAACAAACACAGAAATATCTGTGGGATTGTGAATTACTTAGCTCAGTTGAACCATTCTCTGATGTATGTATATTTCAAAATATCAAGTTGTGCACTCCCTATATAAAACCTTTATTCAATTAAATTGTAATGGATATGCCTTTTCCCCTGATACCCACAATGCTGAGACAGGAGGACGGAGCCATTATATCTATCCTCTATAGTGCTCACTTCACGCCTCTGAGATAGT